TACATTTTTCGTAGTATACCTACTAGTACTACCACTACTACGACTACTACTAATTAAGTTATTTGAACGGTCTAAGAAGTGTATTAGGGTTAATGGAAAATCAAAAGGGAAATATAATTTTATGTTTAATTTCAGCCCCTTTCCCTTTCATTCCGCGAACCTTTTGACCTCCTGTCGTATAATAAAATAACAAACCACAAAATAGTGAATGGTGAGCTGACAGGCGCTAATTTTTTTATTTAATTTTATTTACATTTGCTTATATTCGCCGAGTAGTGGCGACGTAAACGAATCGTTGAGGCCATTTCATCCCGAGACGGGTGTCAGAAAAGGCGACTATAAGAAAGGCTAAAAAGATAAATATCCCACTATATACGGCGGTATACTATCTCGTATAAGTATATCTGTTACGGCCTACGGCTGCTCCCTTAAAGGATCAGATCCTCAGGGGCCCATGAGCTGAAGACTTCCCGAGCAGACGTAGGTCGAGCCTCAATGTGGCCACGTGGAATCTCTCGAATTACACTAAAATATATGGGGGAGCGTTCTATACTACGGCCAGTCGACCGGCAGAGGAATTAGGCGGAGCTTACTTACCTATATCCAAGGCGACTGGTCCCCTCCGGAGTCGGTCAGGTCACATGTGGTTGTGTAGTGAAAGGGAAATAAGTGATGTGATGTGTATCTGGGTGGGACTGGTGGTGATTGAACCTAGACCTTGGCCGTCGGCAGCAGCCTGAGCGTCGACATCGCTCCAACTTGAGGGGGCCTTCCGAGGTTGCCCACAGTCACTTTCTTCTTTCGTCACGTTGACAGTCAATTAACTCTATCGTACGATTTACTAACTTACAGAAGCCACTAACTATCGCGGGTTATAAGGTTAACACACAAAACGCACACGGAGTTTACAGTTTATTAAAGGTCACTACCGTTTCGTTTCGCAACAATTAGTTCTAGAATACAGAGGCCGCACTAGCTAATATTGCCTAATGCACTTATGAAGATTCTGAGTCAAACACAATGAGTCCCTGGGAAGCTCTCCAGCAGGAATGCGCGTCACAATGATAGACCGTATATTTACTGGCCGCGCCGAATTATTCCGAGTTCCCTAACAGACTACAGCGTGCCAATCGTTAGCACCGCTTATGGACGACTGCCCTTGGGCGTTTTACGCACGACCGAATGTCAAACCGGTATGACACTGAGCCGCGCGCCCTCTCGCGTTCGTTCCCGAAATTAGCGTTTAGCGCGAACAATATCTTATTGCCATCTTGGGAGTAAACAACTGACGGATGGGTTATCAGGCGCATGCAACGAAGGAGATAGTGTTTGTTTCTCTTTTTGCTTTTTGTGAACGCCAGCGAAGCGTACAACGCGAAATTCTGTCTGGAGGACATTTTTCTATAAGAAGCATTTTGGAGACTGTGCGCAGGAATTACGTGCCTTAATTCCTTCCTCCCCTTACCAACATTGGTCAACCAGGCAGTCGGCGGGTGTTCACCCCTTTGTTGTCGATATTTTATGCATTCTAATAAAACGGTTTATTTCGTCAGGGCGTCTTTACGGCAAGAGTGAATAGGCTTTTGTTACTATAAGACAATGCAATTGAGCATGTAGGGCTTCATCGCCACTTACCACCAAGTGGGATTGTAGTCAAACACTGGCCTCATCATTATCATCATCATCATTACAGTCCTTCACAAGTCCACTGCTGAATATAGGCCTCCCCCAAGAAATGCCACAAAGCACGGTCCTGAGCCACCTGCATCCATCGACTTCCTGCATGTCTCACCAGGTCGTCACTTCATCTAGTGGGGGGTCGCCCTACACTTTGCCTGCCGGTACGAGGCTGCCACTCGAGAACCTTTCTTCCCCATCGGTTGTCGGTTCTTCGAGCTATATGGCCGGCCCACTGCCACTTCAGCTTACTAATCCGTTGGGCTATGTCGGTTACTTTCTACTGGGGATATCCTCATTTCTAAGTTTATCACGCAGAGACACCACGAGCATAGCCCTCTCCATAGCTCGCTGAGCGACCTTGAGCTTCCTCATACGGCCAGCAGTGAAGGACCACGTCTCAGATCTGTAAGTCATCACTGGCAACACGCACTGGTTGTACAATTTCGTTTTTAGGTTTTGAGGTATGTCTAACGAGAAGATGTGTCGTAGTTTCCCGAACGCTGCCCAGGCGAGATGAATCCGTCGATTGACCTCTCGGTTGGACTTACCTAGTCGGACTATTTGTACCAGGTAAACATACTCGTCAACAACTTCGAGCTTAGTGCTCCCAACAACTACCGGCATAGGTGTGACATGGACGTTAAACATGATCTTTGTTTTGTCCATGTTCATCTTAAGACCTATCCGTTGGGAGACACTATAGAGGTCATTAAGCATAATGCTTAGGTCTTCCAGCGATTCTGCCATAAGGACTATATCGTCGGCAAATCGAAGGAGTGATGTACTCGCCATTGATGTTAATACCGTATCCTTTCCAGTCCAGTAGCTTGAAAACGTCTTCCAATGCAGCGGTGAAGAGTTTCGGGGATATAACGTCACCCTGTCTTACACCTCTCTGCAGTTGGATAGGTTTCGTACTCTGATTCTGTACTCGGATAGCCATCGTAGCTCTACTGTACAAACACTTCAGCACTTCGATATACCGACAGTCAACTTGACATCGCTGAAGGGACTGTAGCACCGCCCAAATTTCGACGGAATCAAAGGCTTTCTCATAGTCCACATACGCCAGACATAGTGGCAAATTGTACTCTTCGGACTTCTGTACAATTTCCCGAAGGGTATGTATGTGGTCTATGATGCTAAAGCCCTTTCGGAAACCGGCTTGTTCGGGAGACTGGAAGTCGTCAAGTCTGCGCGCGAGACGATTCGTAATGACTCTCGAAAACAGCACATAGACGCGGCTCAGAAGGGAAATCGGTCTGTATTTCTTCAAGAGAGCGTTGTCAACTTTCTTGAAGAACAAGACGACCGCACTTCTGCTCCCCGCCTCCGGTGTAATGCCACCATGGAGGACGGAATTAAAGAGCTTCTGAAGGACTTCAAGTACCGGTCTTCCACCCGCTTTCAGAAGCTCCGCTGTAATTCCATCCTCGCCTGGGGCCTTGCCGTTTTAAGGTGCTGGAGAGCCATTCTAATCTCGCTCAGACTGACGTCCGGGATATCTTCGGAATAGTTTCGGATAAGACTCGCTCTTGGATCGTTACTCAGACTTGCGTGTGGCTCCAACGATGACGTGTACGTGACTGCCCATAGAACCTCTCAATCTCACTCAAAATCTCAGGTGCTCCGGAAACAATGCTGCCACACTCGGTCTTCAGCTTTGACAGTTGGCTCTTTCTGGCAGACAGATCTCTGGCAAAGACTTTGGAGCCTTGGTTCCGCTCGATCGCTTCTTCAATACAAGCTGTATTGAAGTTGCGTATGTCCCGCCGCATGCATTTAGAGATCTGTCTGTTCAGTTGCCTGTATGCTGTCAAATTTGTTGAAGAATGTAGCTTCATCTACCGTCAAACAACCATGAGATTGACAGTGTGATCGTAGAGTTTTTTGTGTTCTTCTGCGGCGGGTGTTGCAGAACTTAGCTCCGACCGCATGGACAGTTTCCACGAGCTTGTCATTCATATCGTCCACTTCATTGAAGTTTTCTAGGCACTGAAAACGGTTTTGTAACTCGAGCTGAAAGGTTTCGGGACTTTGAAATAGAACACGAGGGGAACCGGCGTTGACTTCATTAGACGAGACCTCTCCAACTTAACGTTTAGGTTCAGTGTGCCTCTAACCATTCGGTGATCGCTACCAGTTTTCACCCTCGCGATCACGGAGACATCACTGAACAGTAGTCGTCTGGTCGTCATAATGAAGTCAATCTCATTTTTTGTGGAACCGTCGGGGCTCGACCAGGTCCACTTCCTGTGGGGCCACTTCTGGAAGAAAGAGTTCATCATAAAGAGTCCCTCTTTCTCCATGAAGTCGGCCAGCTGCTGGCCCCTTGGGTTCCGTTGCCCTATTCCAAATTGCCCTACTTTCAGCTCACTGTTCTCTCTTGGGCCTAGTTTTGCACTGAAGTTTCCCATTAACACCGTATAGTGGGTTTTGGAGGAATGCATGGCTCTAGAGATATCCTCATACATTTTCTCCACCTCCTGATCGGGGTGTGCCGAGGTTGGTGCGTAAATCTGTATGACCTTCAGCGAATACCGTTTGGTGATTCTGAGTATAAGGTACGCCGCGTCGACTCACCCTCAATCTTAACAACGTTGTTAACGAGAGACTTGTGGACGATAAATCCGACACCTCCTTGGGACAGATGATCGCCCTCCCGGTGATAGAACAAGCTGCCGGATTCGAGGATTACCGTGTCCTTCCCCTCTCTTCGAACCTCGGATAATCCTATAATATGCCAGCGTAACTTGTCTATCTCTTCTTCCAGCTCCACGATCTTCTCATCAGTCCTCAGGGTTCGCGCGTTATATGTTGCCAGGTCGAGTCGTTTTAGATGGCAACCGAACCTCCACCGGAGATTCTTAGCACCCCCTGCCCCGCCGTTACCATGGTCGTCATCGCAGCCAGGAATAGCGGGGCCGCCGGGGACTGGGGGCCGTCTCTTTGTTGCTCTCTTCATTGGGGGGTATTTGCCATAGTTGCCACGCTTGGCGAGCGAGTTGGCAACCGCATTTTTTTTATTGTACTTTTGCTGTTATCAGGAAGATGCTGCTGCGCATCTCCTGCCTGTTTCCCTTTGTCGCCTTTTACGACACCCACGGGAAGATATGGGGTAGTGGATATTCTTAACCGCCACTACACGGCATAAGCACTGGCTTATAATAAGTAAAACGTAAAAATATATCTGTACTATCAAGTTCTAACTGCACACTGCACTTGATTTAATTGCTAACAAGACATGGAAAAAGCCAAGATTTACAAAATAATAATTATTAATAAATACTACTCATTGTATTGGATTTTGTCTGACTTACCTTTACTTACGTTCTTCCCCAATTTCTTTGAAATGCATGTTTTCTGAATCTAAAAAGGATAATACAATATTAACTTGCTTTCTGTAATTTCTATTCATTAAATATAAATGTTTATATAAATCCAGTTTGCTATACTTTGAGCAAACATCAACTAAACTGTGTTTAATAAAAATTAGAATGCATGTATAAAATTAAATATATATATAAATTATAAGACAAATCAAATAAATGTATTTTATTATATACAATTGCAAACGTACCTGATCAGCCTTTTTTCTAGATAATTTATCTGGAGACATTGGTGATGGTATGGAATGTATAAAGTCATCCATCTCACCGGCACTACTGTCAGATGAAGAGCCATCATCAACATCCGAATTTGGCTTTAGCTTATCATATTTCTGGAGAATTAATTTGTGATGCTTACGTAACTTTCCTATAAAATTAACATTTATTTTTATTTTATTAATTTAAAATAACAAAATATGTCCCATAGCAATTAACTCTTCAAAACACAAAGTAAATAAATGTGATGAGATACTTCAGTTTTACCAGTCAGTTTTAGTGTTTTATAGATACATTATATAGCACGGTAACATAGACAATAATTAATAATTAATTAACAGTAAAAAGTCAAATCATACTTACTTTTACCTAATACAATATCCCTAAGCAAACATATATGACTTAAAAGACTATCATATTCATGTTTTTGCAATCCTTTGCTTTTTGGTTGTTCTTTAATATTAGATTTCTCCAGTTGGTTTTCTATTTTCAATGATTCTATTTGTGTCTCATGTTCTTGTACAAGCACCTGAATAAGAAATTTTGTTTACTAGCCATATGAAACTAGAAAAACTTAATCAAAATTATTTTTTATAAAATAACAATGGTAACAACAAACAGTCCACTTAATGGCAAATGGTCATGGATACCTACAACCACTTTTTCACTAGGTGTTGGACTACTTTTCTGCCTAGGAATTTGTCTGGGAACCTACCCAGACCTACTACCTGTAGGTACCAACCTCTTACTCATTGCTGCCACCAAGTAGCAATGCTTGCACTGCTGTGTTCTAATCTGGATGAGAACGCATCTGTAACCTTATTTGTTTGAAGTTGGCTGCAGATGTCCATAAACTGCAGTAGGCACTTACGATCAGATGGATTGTAAGATTGTTTGTCACTTCAGCTTTAAAAAACGAAACCAACATCAGTTACTTGGCAGCAGAAATAGGCAATACCCCGCCACTTTTACACACAAAGGAATTTTCTTATGCCGCCATAGATTGTTCCAGTTTTCATAACTTAATTCTCACCACCTCCTCATGGAATTATTTAAAGTTACAGCCTATATATGTCCCACACCTTTTCAGGTTTTTCGATGTTTTCCTTCACCGCCAAGCATGAGGTAAATCAGCACTTAAAATTGCACTTAACAATTTCATTAGTGCGGTGGGGATCGAACCCAGTTGCTCGCGTACTGTGAAATTTACTGCGAGCGCTTTGCCCCTGGGCTATCACGTCACGCCATGGAATTATTTGTTTCACTAATATATGCACCAAAGTATATTAACATTTAAGTAATTTGAAAGAGTAAACCAAGTGAAAAAAGAACAAATGTATCTAATTATATTAGTAATAAAATGTTAGTTACATATTACACAAAATATACAAAGATATTATAATATCTAATACATAAGAATTAATTTTTGTTTGTTCATATTTTATGCGCTGCCATATCGTTCATCAGACTGCGTTAAAACTTTGTCAACATATTGCTTGCGCGATGGTCATAGACATAGTACAATTAACATACAGTAAGTGGCGCGCGTATCGTACCGACTAATTTATTTCAAATTTATATATCATCATTATCATTCCTAATAAAACAATATAATTCTTTCAAATTTAAAATGACATTTCCTCATTTATTTTTTCTGCTTTAGTAACGCACTGGGTACCAGCTAGTCCTCTAGTACTGATTTTCAATGATTTAAGTCGAAAAATGTGTCCCTGACTATTTAGGAAACATTTACATATATTTATATAAAAGTAATAATCAAATCACCTGAAGTTGATGAGCATGAGACTCAATTGCCTTGCATTGGTTTTCTGAGAAATTTAATCTTTCTTCTAGTTCCTGATTTTTCTGAGATAACAGTTGGGTATCCTGTAATGCAAAATGAAAAAATTAATTATAAATAACTATATCAGAACCACAAGGCCTAGAGACTTAAAATTTGGTGGGAATGTTCTTTTCGCCGAGTAGAGGTCAGCTAAGACCGGATTTCACGAAATTTCACCAGCACTCGTGGGGGCGTTAATAAAAGAAAAATCACGTATTCAATCTGCACCTCTTATAATTATAAAACTTGGCCAGAATATTCTTTTTGGTATGTTAAAAATTACCAAGAATGGATATTATTTGTGAACATACCATGTAAAATCAGGTAATAATAAGTCGGAAACACGTGTTTTAGAAGCTAAATAATCCTAATTATTGACCAATGGGAAACAAAAGCAAAGCAATTAGTTATTAGCCCATCATAAAAATATTATTGGACTCTACCACCTGCCTCTAACGCAGTGTTTGTCGGTGTTTGAAAACAATACATGCTTATTATCTTATGGGATTTCATTCCAATTTATAGATAATTATGTAGTTTAAGTGTGGTCTTAAACATTTGGCCAGCAGTATATCTTTATATATATATATATATTATCTTGTAGGGGACAATCACGATATAGTATTATTTGCTGACGATACCTCTTTAATTTTCAAACTGAAACGGCAGTCAATTAAATATGACGATGTAAATAATGCTCTATCGAAACTAGTACATTGGTTTAACACCAACAATTTGCTCTTAAACGGCAATAAGACAAAATGTATTAAATTTACAATACCTAATGTAAAACATTCGAAAACCAATGTGCTCTTAAATGGGGAGGAGTTGAGTCTTGTGGATACCACTGTTTTTCTCGGTATTACTATTGACGCGAAACTTCAATGGGGCCCCCATATATCTAAATTAGCAAGCAGACTTAGTTCTGCAGCATATGCTGTAAGAAAGATTAGAAGTCTCACAGATGTTGAGACAGCTAGGTTAGTGTATTTTAGTTACTTTCATAGCGTAATGTCTTATGGAATTTTGCTATGGGGTAATGCGACTGATATTGAAGCTATATTTGTTTTGCAAAAGAGAGCCGTACGGGCGATTTATAATCTAAATTGTAAAGAGTCCCTTAGAGAAAAATTTAAAGAAATAAACATATTAACTTTGGCATCGCAATATATTTATGAAAATGTAATGTATGTACATAAAAACATAAATAGCTTTAATAAGAATAAGGATGTTCATACCTTAAACACTAGGAACAAACATAAGCTTGTAATGCCACTTACAAGACTCCACAGAATTAGTAATTCATTTAAGGGGCAATGTATACGCTTTTACAACAGAATCCCAGAACATGTTCAAAGTTTGTCAATAAACAAGTTTAAAAGTTTTATTAAAGAAAAACTGTACAAAAAGGGTTATTATAATATCAAGGAATACATGAATGAAAATAACCCCTGGGAATAAGGTGATCGCCACCATGCTGGTTCTATGAAAATTCATTTAAAATTGTATAAACAAAATTATTGTTAAGTGAAATTATGTTTAAAAAAAAAGTCCCGCTGGGTTTCTTGCTGGTTCTTCCCAGGACAGAGGTATTTTCCGAACCAGTGGTAAATAAAATAATGACTTTCAATAAGTATTATGTAATAATCCATATTGAATAAAAATCATTCTATTCTATTCTATAAAAATTGCGTGTCACATTGTTTGTCCGCGATGAATTCCTAAACTAGAGAACCGGAGACCTATTTTACTGGAAAAGAGGCATTCCATCTTAGTCCTAATGCACTTAAGACAACGCATTTGCATTTTGACTCATAATTGAGGATAGATGTAGATGTCTATGGGCCACAGCAACCACTTACCATCAGGTAGACTGTGTGCTTGTTTGTCATCATAATTCTATAAAAAAAATGTCAATTTGGTAGTCTAGTATTATGAAGTAGACATCCGGTACTAGATTTCAATTATGTTTTCAGTTTAGGAGGCTGGTCAGGGTTAAGCTTGAAGCTTTTACACTGTTTTTGGATATCGGAAACGCGTTTTGAATTAATTACAATAAAAATAAATTTCACTAAAAATTGCATATAACAAAACGCAAATATGTCAATTTGATCTACTATTATGAAGTAGACATCCGGTACTTAATTTGAATTATGTTTTCAGTTTAGGCTTGTCAGGGTTAAGCTAGAACCTTTTACACTGTCAGTTTTGGGTGCGGAAATGCGTTTTGAATTAATTATGACGAAAATAATTTCACAACCTAAAAATTGCATATAACAAAACACCTATAAAAAAGTTAATTACTCGGACCCAGACAATTAATTTCTGGCTGAAGATGGGACTCATACACAACGATTTGAGTCTCAGTGGAGAGCAGTCAAGAGGTTTTTCACAAAAGAAAATTATAACAATTAACATTACATTGTTTCATTTACCACTATCATAGCAGAGTTTAGGTCAACCTGACTATAGATAAGATAGGTCGAATCTGTACTAAAACTGAATTAGCTTGCCCCGACTCTACGTAGTCTTATTCTCCCTACCCCTAGAGTGTTTTGTGCGAACCGTAGCAGCTGAGGCTGAGCCGAAGGCGACCAATAAGCCGAAGCTGCGAAGGCAAGCATGGGTGCCTGTGATTAGCAACGCAAGGGCGAAGGGGCTGCTCTTCCCGCAGCGTCGAAGATGTATCATAAGTAACTTTGAGTCAATATTCTGGTGTAAAAAAGTGAGATAATGATTTTGTAAAAAAAATGTTATTACCCATAAACTATACATTTCCGCAAAGGGGGAAGGGTAGGGGGGCTCCCCCTGAACCCTCACCCCTACCACACCCACCCCTGTACGTGAGTACCGGATGTCTATAGTTTTACAAAGACTTATTATTGCCCATCAAAAGTCAACAGCTAAATATAGCTTTCCTCATAGATTTGTCTCCAAAAGGCAGATCCATAGATCATAAATTGTATCAGAAAGAAACTTCATTGGGCCGTTTACAGTTTCCACCCATATAAGGCTGCAGGAACTGACTGCATCTTCCCAGCATTCTTACAGTAGGGAAAAGATTTAAATAGAAACTTTTTCATTCAATATAGACTATAAATAATAATTATTGAAAGTAATTTTAATGTTTATTTTAGTCTTAGTGAAAAATAAAATGGTATGTATTACCTAGTTTGAAGAGCACCTTTCTCCCCACCACAATTGCATGCAATGGTTACCAAAGCTTAATGTAATATTAATACAACCAATACTACTGCACTTACTAGAAACAAACACCACTGTCGATAATGCAACATATATAGCACATACACCTCTATAACATCTTATTAAACTCTCAGGAAAAATAAAATATGTAAACACTGAATAGTAAATTATCAAGTGGTTTGTGTTTACTAGTGCAAAGGTAAGGCTGGCCTTGGATTGATAGTGCACTCAATTGTGGGAGACAGGGAGGTTCTCTTCATGTGGGTTATAGATACACACTGCTCTTTATTTTCACACATATCTTAAATAATTTTTTTTCAAAATACAAATAATTAGACATTTTAACTTATACTATCAGTAAATTTGGAGTCGAAAAAAGTGTGAGAACATTTAAATTATTGTTTCTCAGAGAACTGGGTCGGCAGAGACGGGCCCATCCCTTGATCACCTCGATCGGCTAATTTAAGTTCTGTGAATTTTTTCATTTGGGGACGGGTCAGGGAGCTCGACTACACACATATGGAAATATCAACCAGAGAGGAGTAATAGGAAAAAGCCATATAACTTTTAAAGTTATGAAGTAGAAGATAAAAATGAAAATTACCAGCACAGAATTGAGAAGATAAGCCTGCACTCAAGTCAGAAATTGTGGTCAACATTTTGAACACAAAAAATAAATTATTTTAAAAAAAATGTTGTTTTATTGGTCTGTTAAATATTTAAAATATTCATTCGCAATTTACTTTGTACACCCTAATTCGGAGAGTTGATGAGACATCTGCGTAAATAATACCTCAAAAAAAAGGGCAATAACTAAGCAACTTGTCTTTAAGAAAGTTTAAATAACTAAGGCAATTTTATTTATTTTTTTATGATGGCATAAACACATTTCCTTAATTTTTTTTGTTTCTTAAATATGCATAGAATGTTTTTCTGATGATGAAGATTCTTGTAAATAATTTCGCTTAAGTAATCACACATTACATAAATAGAAAAATAATAACAACAACTGTTACTGGGCACTATTAACAATTAATTGAAAAAAAAAAGGGTTTTATTGTTAAAAGACAAGTTTAGTTTAACATGTTCTAAATGGTTTAAGGTATCATCCCCTTCAGGCTTTGCACCCATCTTTCAAACAGTTTGTTACCCAACATAAAAACAGTACTTTAAAAATAAATTAAACTTGCTAACAAAAATAATTAAAATAAACTTGCCAAAGTTTGTATATACGTGTACACATACATGTATTTCGCAAATGCTCCCCCGCCAGTAGTGTATCAACACCCGCGATACGTAGGCGATGGAGTATTTTGTAATTAAAGTTACTGAGCTATGAATGTAGCCTGTGCGAGTGTTCGTAGAAACTTATTTAATTGGTGCACAAATTATAAAACTAAGGTAAATATGATATAATTCTTGTATACTATAAAATGTAATGCAAACAATTGATTGATTGTCTTGTTGTTTGTATTCAAGGATATTTCATGTATATTTATTATATGTATTTTTGTATGTTTTAGATGGCAGAATATTCAAATAACTTATGTGTAAAATACAAAAATGGATAGCTAGAGGATAACAAAGAGGATGTCATTTTGGGTGAAAGTGAGGAGAAAGGAGGGTTCGCCGAACAGTGTCGAAGAACAGCAAGGATCTTCTCACTAGTTTCATGCAGGACAAGAAGGTGAAAAGGATGATTGAATAGATATTCCTCTGTCAAGCTAAGCTTCCTGTCAGTCTCGTAATGGTACAAGGTAGATTAGTTTCCACCTTCTACTTCAAGAACAAGACTTATAACATTTTAGCCATGCATATATATAAATAATATGCTATTTGAAACATTCTCGTAATTCAAGAAATATTTATATGGATACCATTACCTGACCATATTGTAATAATACAATTAGCTAAACAACCTGCCCAATATAATATGCCTGATAGAGGAAGCGTTGGTTGTTGCTTTTTTTGCAGCAGGGCTCGTGTTTGCAGTATGCACGAACAATGTAGCAAATTCATGCGAGGCATTTGTAGGGATCATCAGGCAGTCATGTGTCCTGAATGCGTAGCAACAGTGATTTTATATGAAGCAATTTGACTGTTGGTTCAATTTTTTTTCCTAGCTTGGCAACTTCCAATGGATTCTGCCAGCTGCAAGTATTTCATGAGAGTCACACAGAGTATTGACTAGTTTCCGTTTCCATAGATGCGCTTACTTAGCTTTATGTCATGGAGTATCTCTATACTCCATGCTTTATGTTACAAACTTACTTATGTAGTTATTTTCAAATGAATTAATATTATAATAGTTTAACTACTATAATAAAATGGATATAGGTAAGTGGCAAAAGTATTATAGTTTAATGTTATTAATGGATATGAAGGCTAATAAAGTTTGTACAAAAGGAGTGTAAATGAAATTTAACAAAGACTTAATATTTACAGGACGGGGGATGTTATTAGGAAGAAAATTGCATAATGCAGTTAAAAAATTTATGATTGATCGTACCTTAGTCTAATCCACACTCACAAATTGAGCTATCTTTAATCTTAAGTTTTGCCAAAAATACAAGTGAACAACTGTGTCCCAATCTAATTCTACATAATATGACGGATGTACTACGTTTGGAGCCATTTTTAAATTTTAAAAACCATGGTTTGGAAGGAATGTCAGGTAGGAGTTCTTCATAATATTTATCGATACAGTTGGTTCAATTAGATGATAAGAAACAAAAAACCTAATGAATATTAGTTTCTAAATTTAAAATTAGACCAAGTGATCTCAACCCATCCAAATAACTTTGATTTTTAAGAAGTTTGTTTTTGTTAAAAAATTTAATTATGAAGCTAAGTTTTGTTGATTTTTCTACCGACTTCTAAAAGGAGACAGTACTCAATTTAACATTATTTTTCTTTTTTTTTTTAAGTGTGTTACCTCATAACTTTTTTCTGGATGAACTGATTTCAATTACTCTTTTTATATTTGAAAGCTGGTTTGTCTCATGTGGTCCCATATAAATTTGATCAGGGTCTGACCAATAGTTTATGAGTTATTTTTAATAATTTATATTGAATGTGGTTGTACAAAATTTTAAATTATTGTGATAATATAACAAAAATAATGATGTTTAGTAAATATATATTACAGTTTATTGTTTTTTTTTTTTGTCTAATTAGGAAAATACATGATTAGTGTAGCCCACTTGCAGTCCTTACATGCGTTTTAAGAGTATTAAAGAGCATGTGTACTCTAGTGTTAATAACCAGTATTTTACAGACACACCTACATTCATTCATCATTAAATAATGTAAACCCATAATACTTACTTTTTCCAATTTTCTGTAATCTTCCAAGGTAGAGTTATACTCTATGCAAACTTGTTTACATTCATCTTTTGAATTTTTCAAATATCTCTCTGTCTGATCCAAGGCTTCTTTCTTAGCATAGTATTTTTTTATAAGGGAGCTAAAAATAAGGCAGATATTTTAAAGCTTAATTTAGGCCATATGATATAAAAATATTGTAAAGGGTATCATAATATTTATAACTTACTCTGTAGCGATAATTTTCTTTTTAGCAATCAATATAGCCTTACGCTGTTTTTCAATCTTACTTTCGACCTAAAAAAAAAGCTTAATGTCAATTGATATCATAAAGGTAATGTTTCAATTTATTAATTCTCTACCAATCAATTTCGAGGTTGAAAGGAAAACAAAAGCAGGCTCAAGTTTATGTACATTTTATCATACACATATAAGAGAAAGAAAAGCGAAGACGAATTATTTGTTTACTGAGTGAACTTTACAAAATAATTTAATAAACATGATAGATAAATGTAAATCTATTATAACCCCTAGTTTGCTGTAAAAGTAATTCTTAACATGTAATAACATCACTAAATAATGAACATAAATATAAATAATATGAAATCAAATTTGTATCAATAAATCCACATAATAAAAATTTCTAACACAAATAACCTACAACTCACCATAACATTTTTAGGTGTTTGTTGAAGAAAATTAAAGTCAAAATCTAAGAAACTGTCTTCAAAAGTAGAAGACATTATCAATTAAGACTAGAATCTGGCTTTACACTAAATCTTTAGATTCACATATTTTAGGTTTTATTTGGAAACTTCACAAACAGAACCGGCGCGCGTATCTGCAAGTATACCCACAAACTATATAGAAACACTAGTATACCATAGACCACAGCCATAGACGAAAGTAAAGTCATAGATGGTTTTTTTTTTGGAGTTTATGGCCTGGTATCTAGACCTTTAGGCCAAGTCTTGAGTATTTCTATTCGGTTTATTATAATTTCCCCACTGTATTTTTGATGAATTTATATAGAGGTACGGAATAGGATCTATATTTTAACATATCACTCAGGCGACGGGAGGGATCTTGCACAGTCACTTGATTTTGCACTTATGCACTATGTCACTAATTTCACTGACAAGAATCAATCTGTCAAATGAAAAGCACTCACATGTAAATATGAAATGTTCGATATCACCAACGGAATTATTGCAGAAGGTGCAGTAGCTGCTCTCCACTATGCCCAACCGAGCCAGGTGGGCCGGGACGGTGGAGTGACCAAAACGTAATCTGTTTATAGCCATAATAAAGTCCCGACTGGCCATTTTCAATTTGTTATACCATGGTGCCACAGGTAGTTTTTCTTGAACAGTTCCATACCATTTACCCTTCTGTTCTTGATCTTGTTTCCAAAATTCGATCCATAAACTATTGACCTGGTTGTCAATAGATTGATAACAGTCGGTCAAAGGTACTTTTACTATGGAGCTAACATCCAACATATTGGTTCCATCACGTGCAACTTTATCTACTCTCTCATTTCCTGTTATGCCCCTGTTACGGCCTACGCCTGCTCCTACAAAGGTAAAATCCTCTGGGGCCCACGAGCAGAAAACTTTACGAGCAGACGCAGGTCAGGCCTCAATATGGCCGTGTGGAATTTCCTATCACAATAAACTACATGGGAGCAAACTAAAAAGCAAAGGTATTTACCTGTATCAGGAGCTAACTTCGCTCCAAGGCTTGGGCAGGCCGTGAGTGTATGTAATGGTAGATAGCGAGTCGTGTACAGTGAGGTGTGAATGTGTGGGGCCTTGGCAAGCATAGGCGACCAGCAGCGGCCGAGTTCCAGGCTGCTCCAAAATGCTGCATCGCTCCAGACTGCTTCAGAGCCGGACCACTTCTTTCTTCACTGTCACTATTCAGTCTCTTAGCTTCATTGTACATTTAACTAACTTCAATTCGCCTAATTCCACACTCATCGCAGAATCGAACACGTGATATCCGACACGGCAAGGACAGTAGCACAAAATTCGACATTGAATGTCCCGGATTCACTTATCACAAATTATAAATTCGGCACCAGAATAGAATAACAAGTCGCGCCAGAGTCAAAATACGCCTCGTTGACACGCCAATTAATTTAACTAGGCAACCAAAACACAAAAAGCACTAACGCGACGACCCAATTATAGCGATATCTTCATCTAGCTATCTAGATCCACGACGGGCCCGTGAATTTAGGGAAGAGGGCTTGACAGTCTCCCCGCATCGTGGCCGGCGGGGCACCGACGCTTCGCGCACACTTCGAGCGACTGACTGCCACGCAGCCGCCCTACCTCGGCGTTTTTCTCACCTACATACCAAATCAGGTGAGGCGCTAGCTCGAACGCCATTGGATGGCGTACAAATTACCTTTTTTGCCTAAACAAACCTCCGTCCCGGACATAAGGACTTAAGTCCGCGAGCAAACCGATATGCGGGATAGGGTCGCAACGGCATGTTGCAATACCGAATCTACAACCAAAACTAGGCCACCTTAGACATCCGATCTTGCAACCCTAGCCACCGCCTCAAAAGACAGCCCCAATGTGGGCAAGCCGGAGGGTCAGCCTCCACTGGATGCCCCTCCTAGGCATCGCAGGACTTTAACAAGTCCTGTACTGGACAGAAGTCCGACGACCTCTTTCAAACACCTATCTGTGCCCCTATGATTAGTTCCGCAATCCGACCGGATCAGGTCTGCAAACAGCGACGCGACACGAAGCGGCCCAGTGTGGCCTCCTAAGCTTCAGTGCAGAGAGCACCTACAAATTTGTCGTGAAGCAACAATTAAAAACAAAAAAAAAGAACCTAACCTAGCAACAAAACAACAAAAATAGGGCAAAACAAATAATCTATTTAAAATATTAAAAAAAAAGATATTTACAGATTTATATAAAAAAAATGATGTATGAGGATGAAGATGGGTGATGTGATTTACAATTATTTCTAAAAAAAAAAAGATAATAAAAATGATGAGTATTGAAGCTGAGGCCGAAGATCCAAGAGGTACACCGCTTTTGGTGGTGTTCTTCGCTGCCCACAGATTATACGCAGGCTGTGCTGGTGGTAGGCCCACAGCGCCTGGAACGAGCACGCACAGCATAGGTGAAGGCGTGGGTGTGTCTAGGCGACGACTTCAGGTCAATGCAGAGGTTTGCAAGATCCGGCGTCTTCAGGCAAGACAGAGGCTTGCAGGATCCCAGCGACTTCAGGCAGGACAGAGGCCTGCAGGATCCGGTGACTTCAGGTAGTACAGAGGCTTGCAGGATCCGGCGACTTCAGGCAGGACAGAGGCTAGCAGGATCGGGCGACTTCAGGCAGGACAGAAGCTAGCAGGATCCGGCGACTTCAGGCAGGGCAGAGGCTTGCAGGGTCCTGGAGACTTCAGGCAGGACAGAGGCTAGCAGGATCGGGCGACTTCAGGCAGGGCAGAGGCTTGCAGGGTCCTGGACACTTCAGGCAGGACAGAGGCTAGCAGGATCGGGCGACTTCAGGCAGGGCACAGGTTAGCAGGGTCCCGGCGGCTTCAGGTAGGAGAGGCTTGCTGGATCCGGCGACTTCAGGCAGGACAGAAGCTAGCAGGATCCGGCGACTTCAGGCAGGGCAGAGGCTTGCAGAATCCTGGAGACTTCAGGCAGGACAGAGGCTAGCAGGATCGGGCGACTTCAGGCAGGGCAGAGGTTAGCAGCGTCCCGGCGGCTTCAAGCAGGACAGAGGCTTGCAGGATCCCGGGGCAGTGCGGCCCCGGGATAAGGCCTTAAGGAGATGCTTCGAATTTGAGAACCGAAGCAAGACTGAGTTTCTTCACCGATTGTTCGGCTTTTATACCTTTTTAGAGAGAACGGAAAATTATTTAAATTAAAAGCAAATTTTTTGTAAATGGCCAAGAGGAAAGAGTATTTATGTGGAATTATCGAAGTAGAAACAACAGACCGGTAGCGAATTTGAATAAAAATTGCCATGACAACCAGATAAACAACGATGTCAAAACATGTCAAATTTTGGTTTTAGGCTCGTAATAGAGAAACGGCAAGATTTAAATGAAAAATGAGTTATTATTGCTATAGGAAAAAAGGTAGCACCAGCGCACACAAAGTCCGAAATTGCAGAGTTACGGAGAACTAAATAAAAGATCGAAAAAGGTAGACTCCGTCGATACCGTTTTAAAAAGTGCTGATAGCGTGAAAATACGAAGTGAATATGATTTGTTATTGTGTTCTTATGGTTTAAAAACGTTACAGGATCCTATGGAAATAAAGGTGATACAAAATATCCAGTTTTGAGGTGAATGCAGAAAATCAAAACAGAATGGAAAAATGAATTTAAAATAGTGTAAAATGATATGTAAGTAACAAAACATAACATTTTCCCCCCGACCCTGGAAAATTTTTGACTCAGCAAATATTTTGATATGTACATTCTAAAATAAACCGTAAAAACACAGCGTTGCAGAAACAGACATCACCAGGCAAAATCAGATATACTATCTCTTACATTCACCATCTGCATTCAGGTAAGGGTGGAGTTCACATTCAATGACTACCACTCTAAAAGTGTGTTTTCGAAAGGACATTCAGGCTTATTTAAGGAGTTGTCATCCGCTCCTGTGTGGAAAAAAAAATATTAAGGGAGTAGTCAGCCGCTCCCAAGTGAAGATAAAGATAAAGAAATTAATCTTAAGTAAGCTTTAGTCGCTATGACTTAAGTAAAGATTAAGAACGGCCAGAGCGGTAGGGCTCAAAGCCAGAGATCAGCAACATCACCAACGAGATGTGTCTGAAATAAAAATAAAAAGTGAAGATTAACCAACGAAAATTCGAGGTCCTAAAGCAAGATGTGTTGAAGAACACTGGATCACCAAACAAAAAAACAAATTAAAAGAAATAAAAATAATAAGGTGAGAATGATGGTGATATTTATACATATATACAAATTAACAGTTAATAAAAGTTAAGAAAATTTATGATTTTACATCTTTGATGTGCCACTTGCCTCTAACTCCATTAGGGTCTTCAAGCACATAAACTAGTGGTGACAGTTTAGCTATCACTTTGCACTTGATGAACTTAGGGGCAAGTTTAGCATTAAAGTATGCGCCGGCATTGCTTAAAACATGGTTTTTACGCCAAACAGTATCTCCCACATTTAATTCTATAAAAGACTGGCGAAGATCATAGCGAGCGCTATTTTTAGCGTGAGCTATGTGAAGTTTAGTTTGAACTTTGTGAAAGATAGATGAGAGGAGACCAGCATTAGACGCGTAAATATCACGAGGCATAAATATCAATTCCTCGAGGTTCTGAGTTGGAGTATAGAAGGAACCACAAGGTATTGTTTCCCTACCAAAGACTAAAAAGTTTGGGGTAAAGCCAGTAGCTACATTTGTAGCGCTGTTCATTGCATACTGAATCTTAGTAAGATGGTTGTCCCAGGATCTATGATCGTCTCCTACTAGAGATGCTAGAGCTGTAATAATTGTACTATTAAACTTCTCCGTAGAATTAACCTGAGGACAATATAAAGCTGTGTGAAAAATAAAAGGAACGTTATAAGAATTTAAGAATGAGTGGAATTCTCGCGACTGAAATTGAACAGCGTTGTCCATTATAATAGTTTGGGGAATGCCATGAACTAGAAAAACTGAATTTTCCAAAACATTAATAATATTAGCTGAAGTAGCACGTTTAAGGGGAAAAAT